GGGTGATTGTGAGTGAGCTCGGAACCCAACAGCTGGCATGCTAAGATACTGAAGCAGGAAAGACAAGTGTCATGTCCCTGTGAAGACAGTCTCCCCTGACTGTGGCAGCCTGCAGGTGGGTGGAACACACCGGTCATTTCAGGCCAGCTTCTTTGTACCACTTGGATTTGTTCTGAGACAAGATCTCGCCTCATAGTATAGGCTGGCTTTAAGCTTGGGGTGATCTTCCTGCCTCAGCCTCCGAGTGCTCGGATCATGGGTGTGCGCTGCCATGCCCAGCATGTTGGTGCTTCCTTAGAGCAGTCTCAAGTCACAGGAACAGTCTCCATGGGGACACACTGCTCCTCAGAGGCCCAGCCGGAGCCCTACCAATGACACACCAGCTGTCCAGCGGCCTCCTGTCACCTCACCATGCCGCTTGTGACCTTCTCAAGTCACACATTTAGTTGTCTTCCCACTGACAGAAAGCCCTGGGCCAACTGCGAAGGCATCCATCAACCTCAGCACATGGGGGCTGGGGGCAGCCCTAGAGGCTTTGCTGAGACCCAAGAAGCCTTCCTGACACCCAAAGCGCAAGCCGAGCACGATACCCACCGACTCGTCGGAGTGCTGTGTTCTCCACGTGTGTCTGGGTGTCTCCCCAAGCCACACGTGGTCACAGTGGGGAGTTCTGAAGGCAGCTGGATTGGAGTGTGGGAATGTAGGAGCCCCACACTGGGTGCCGGTAGCACCAGTAAGCCTGCTGCCTCCTTGCCAGGGATTTTCTCTGCTCCTAGCCCCTCTGCTATGCCACCCTGCCTCAGAGCCAGCCAGCTACGGACCCAAACTTTTACGAACTGTGAGTCAAAACAAAACTTTCCTCCTGTAACTTGTAGGTGTGGAGTACTTAGTTTCGGCAATGAGAAATGTAACTAAGACTCCAGGGGGTTGAAAAAAAAAAAAAAAAGATCAAAGGCAGCACCAAGCTCTCCTCTGGCAATGCCAGACACCAGTTCACAACTGTAGTTGCGGGCTAGGGGTTGGGGTCAGAACACAGAAAACACAGAGCGCTTACCGCAAAAAAGTCAAGTTTTAATTTTAACTGATCAAAGTTCATCCAGGAATGTCTCTGAATAACTGAGGCAAAAAACACGATAAAATTCTCCTACTGAAGAAACCAAGAGTTCTTGCTGGCCCTGGGGCTGCTGAGGCCCAGGCCACAGGCTGAAGGTCCCCAGGGCAGCTCTGCTGCCCTCCTACAGCTCAGCGTCCCAGGGAGGGGCCTGACCCCTGCTCCTGCTGCACCAGGGCTCTTAGGAAGTCACTGCTCCATGACCCTCTCCAGCCCCACTTCTTGCCCTAAGGTGGAGGCCCCCAGGCACCATCCAGAAACCCAGGGACAGGGCACTGCACTTGTGCCCTCCTGGGCCCCAGCCGGGTGCTGCTGCAGTCTGCTCGGCTGGCTGCTTTTGGTGCCCAGAAAGGGATTAAATAAAAATGTGGAAAAGAACTGAATCCCCCTACAGTCTCCACAATGCAAGTCACATAGCAGAAGAAAACGTAAAAGGACAGCACTAAGACCGAGTGGCCCAGCCATCAGAAGACGCGCTCGAACTCCGTCTGGTTGGTGGTAGCCGGGTTGCGGCTCTGGTTGGTGGTCTGCTGTGTGATCTGGCTGCCCTTCCGGCGTGGCGGCGCCAGGTACTCAAACATGGATGTCAGGTGGGTGGACAGCATGCCCTTGAGGTCCGAGGGCATGGGGTCAGACCAGAAGAAGTCGTGGTTGAGGGCGTCGTCGCTGTCAATGCGCTGTGCGGGGTCCAGGACCAGCAGCTTGTCGATGAGGTCCAGCGCGTAGGGGTCGCGCACATAGGCCTTCAGCCTGTCTTTCACCTTCCGCTTCTGGCCCTTGACTAGCTCCAGCTTCTCAAACAACTCGTACTTGTCCACGTTCGGCCACACCTGGAGGAAGGCAGTGGCAGGGCAGAGTGAAGTCACCTGATGGTCACGCAGCAGATGCTCCCAAACCACTGCTACAGGGAGAGCTAGGCCCCTCCCAGGGAAAAGCAGCAGCGGCCACCACTCAAGTGGCACACACCAAGTGCCACCAACCCTGACACAAGCACACAATGTTTTATTTTTCTGCAGTACCAGGGATCGAACCCAGGGCCTTCCTCCTCTCACTCCCCCTGAGCTACACCAGTTCTTTTATTTTGAGACAGACCTTGCCAAGTCATTACATTGCTGAGGCTGGGCTAGAATTTGCAATCCTCCTGTTCAGACTCCCAGACTGCCCTGGAGACTATAGGTGGGTACCACCAAATGCACTTGTTTTACAGAAGAGAAAACCAGGGCCAGCCAGATAGCTCAGAAGATTAAATTGCCTATTAGGCAGGTGCAGGGACTGGGGTTTGCTCCCGTGTTTCATGCCAGCCCTGCCCCCGCCCCAGGCACACTGAGATGGCGAATGAGACTAGGCGCAGTGGCATGTGCCTGTAAGCCCCGTGCTTGGGAGGCTGAAAACAGGGCCGCTACAAGCCTGACCTGTGTAGTGAGACCCTATAGACCCTGTACTAAATACATTTTCCCCCCATAATTTTATTGGGAAATAAGTAGCAATGAGACACTTTCAAATCAAGTTGGTAGGATATTTTCCAATAATTAACACATTGCATACTGCCTTCCTAGTGGTTGTTGTACAAGATGCTGACATGATATCCTATTTACAGACAGTATTAGACCAAATCCCTGTATTCCTTGAATTAAGAGAATGTAGATATATATCTATCCTAACCATTTTGAATACAGATACAAAATGGTCATTCATCTGTATCCCCTTTTTTTGTTTAGTTTCATCATTTAAATATTACAGGTGTGTGAACTCAGCAAAATATTCCAAAATAGTCCAGCAGTCCATAATAGTATTGGAAGGATTTTTTTTTTTTGCTCTGAATGCCCTCAGGGCAGGTTTGGCTGGCTTGAGTTGTGCAGATCAAACCACAGCAAGCTGAGCCTGACTGCTTTGTTGAAGCAGCCACTTAAAGAACCAGGCTAAGGGGCAGGCCCCCCAATAGTATTGGGTCTGTACTAAATACATTTTTTAAAAAAAGGAGAGGGGGCTGGTGAGATGGCTCAGTGGTCTAAAGCACCTACTTAGAACAAGCTTAGCAAAGCACAGGGAACGCGATTCAATCCCCCAGCACCACATGCCAGCCAGCCCGCCCCCTGGTGGGCTGAGCTCCCCCTCCCCCACGAGATAGCACTTACTTAAACACCCTGCCCAAGGCCACAAAGCCAGCTGGGGCGAGGCTGAGACCTGAATATAGCCTGGGAGGCTGCAGAGCGCAGGCCTGACCCTATACATCCCTCCCTGGTGAGTTCGCTCTCCTGCAGACCCCAGGGCCCCGCTCACGCACCTCTGGGGTGATGGAGCCGCAGAGCTGGCTGATGAGGGCAAGCTGGTGCTGTTCTGTGTTGCCCTGCATGATGGGGCTTCGGGTCCACATCTCGGCCATGATGCACCCTGCGCCCCACAGGTCAATGGGCGGACCGTAGTCCCGCTCCCCTGGGAAGAAGAGCGTACCGGGAGGGGCCCTTGAGCCTACGGGCCTCGGGAAACACGGCGCCCCGGGGCTGGAGGCCTAAGATGCCCCAGCAGTGGAGGCAGCAGGAGGCGGTGGCCCGGTAGGTGCCCGGCCCCTGCCCCCGTGCCAGCTCGGGACCCTCACCGAGCAGCAGCTCCGGGGGCCGGTACCAGAGCGTCACCACGCGGTTGGTGTAGCGGTTGGGCTGGCTGTTCTTGGCCAGGCTGAAGGCCCGGGCCAGCCCAAAGTCAGCCAGCTTCAGGACCCCGTCCCGAGTGATGAGCACGTTGGCGGCCTTCATGTCCCTGTGCAGGATCTATAAGAGAGCACGAGGGCGGCTCAGCCTTGTCCCCAGGGTCTTCAGAGCCTGCGTCAGCAGCAGCCACCCGGGCCCTCACCTTGTTCCTGTGGATGTAGTAGAGGCCGTTGAGCAACATCTGCATGACCCTCTTGATCTCGGACAGCGTGAACTTGACCAGGACGTTGCTCAGCAGGCCAGCGAGGTCGTGCTCACAGAAGTCGAACACCAGGTATATGCTGCCCTTGCAGCGGTTGTACGGGGAGGCTGAGGCACAGAGCAGGGCAAGGTCAACGCCCAACTCACCCTCCTCAGCCCAGACACCTGCGGCCTCCACAGCGCCCCAGGAGGCAACACCTCCCTTGTGGGTGCTGTGGCAGCAGGGGGAGCTCTGACACCTGCGGCCTCCACACAGCACATGGGTGTAATGCCTCCCCTGTGGGTGCTGCGGCAGCAGGGGGAGCTCTGGCTCTGACATCAGAGTCAGGAGGCGGCACGCCAAGAGCTCCCACCTCAGCTTTTGCACAGGCTCAGCGAGCGGAAGGCTCACTTCCTCCTAGTTCCGTGCAACTTGCAACTCACCTTTGGTTCGACAAATCTCAATCAAGTTGACCACGTTCTCATGTTTGAGAAGCTGAAGGATCTTGATCTCCCGCAAGGCTGTGATGGGGAACTGGGTAGGAAAGAGAGGAAATGGTCCCAAGGCGAGTGCTGCAGCCCCTCGCTGTGGACTGACTGCACGCGCACCCAGGGACCCGAGTCCCGAGGGAGGGGCTGTGTGCTCTGTCGCTAGCTGTCTCAGGGCCTGAGCTACAACATGGGCGTACCAGCGGCACACACACCTCAAGGAGTTGATGTGTGATAACGCACTGAAAAAGGGATAGACATTTGACTACTTCAACGTTATAGTAAACCATAACATTTTAAACAAATTTAAATCTATATATTTTGAGGCAGGGTCTCACTTTGTAGTGCAGACTGGCCTTGAACTAACTTATTTAGCCGAGGCAAGCTGACAGTCCTGCACCACCAGGCCTGGCTTGTCATGCACTCCAGGGTGTGCAGGAACTGTACACAACAGGGCTCTCTCGCAGAAATCAAAAGAATACAAAAGACTTATGGAAAAGCCATGGGTGTGAGGTTGAGGTCTATAAAATAACAAGGACATTAAGGAGATTTGGTTTCCTTCAAAATTGCCTGAGGTGGGCTGGGGATACAGCTCAGGGGCGTAAGCGCCTGTCTGGCAAGCACAAGGTCCAAGCTTGATCCCCAGTACTGCAAAACAAAAACAGAACTGCCTAAGGTGAGATGATACAAAAGAAAGAAAAAGAACTAACAATCTGGCTGTCATCCACTCAGCGTCTGAGACATCTGAGGGTAAATGTCAAGCAATGGACGTGCCAGCTGGTAACACGACCACCGACCACCGACCACCGCTGTACACCTCGCAGCATTTCAGGCTCACTGGAGCTGTAGGTAGCATATTCCCAAAATCTTCAAAATACAGCAGAAGAATTTACACCTTTGTAGACGAAACACTATTTTCAATTTAGAAATTTATCTCAGACCTCTGCCAACAGGTCCTTAGTCATACAGGAGTAAGCCGAGTGATGACGCAAACAGACTCGAGGCTCTTATCCCAAACTAACCGAAACGCCATTCAACTACTGGTTTACCAGTTTCCAACTGATGCGACATTTGCTAACAGCACAAGGTGACCAGCACAGGAACTGTAGCCAGGAACAAAAGAGAAATTCCAAACGAAACACTGTGATTTCAAAGCAGAGAACTGTATCATGCAATCTTCTCTGGATTTCAGAAAGCTGTAACACGGGCCTCCTAAACATGGCAAGGAAAAACAAACTGGTACTGCTGATGTCACAATGTACCATGAGGGGATACTGGTAGTGAAACCCTGACAAAACAGAAACTTTTACATTAAAACCAAAGGCAGGGGCTGGTGAGATGGCTCAGTGGTCTAAAGCACCTACTTGGAACAAGCTTGACAAAGCACAGGGACCGTGGTTCAAACCCCCAGCACCACATGCCAGCCAGCCCCGGCACCTGGTGGGCTGAGCTGGCCACACACACACACTAAATAAATAAATAAATAAATGTTTAAAAAAAAAAACAAAAAAACAAAGGCAGAGACACTGAGGAGTTGTGCAGCAACCATGTGATGTCACTTGAAACACAAAGTGTTGGCCAACACCTGTGATTCACTCAATCCTAAATGTGGTTAAGTTTGCTGGTTCACAAAAATAACAAGTGTAAAATACCACAGAAAAATTTTCTTACAAGACTGGGACTGGAATTCATACGAGAGCACTGACAGCAGAGGAAAATCAAAACATTTCTGCTCGGGGAACTATGCAAAAAACCAGAGCACATGGGTGAGCTGACAGGTGAAGAGGCAGGGCACAACACAAAGACCCACTGTGACAGAAAAATCAACAGTTAACTGTGGCCTACAGGAAAAGGCAGGAAAACAAAATACATACAATCAGTATAAGCAGTACTTGTGCATGAAACAGGAAGGCAAGAGGCGACAAAAATAGCCTGCCGCACAGGAAGAGCTAAACACACGTGCTATCAGCGTAATGGGACTTGCGTATGGAACATGCGGGTTACTGTGTGTGAAGACTACCTTGGGCGTGATAACTGAAGCAGATTTTTGTTGTAAAGTTCTGTTCATATTTTCATTGCAGTTTATATAGAATTTATTATTTTTGAGACTGTACACCAAACAACAGTGCACATTAAAAATTTTGATGTTTATAAACATCAACCAATAAATATTAAAAATCCAATACTTTAGGTATTTCTTCCTGTTCAGTAGTCATTGTTTAAATAAAACAAACTAAAGGGCCAGGGAGATGGCTCAGTGGAATAAGCGTTTCCCTGGCAAGTGCAAGGGCCTGAGTTCAATCCCCGGTTCCGGGGCAAAAAACAAACAAACAAACAACTAAAATGAACAACTCACCAATAGAAATATTCTAAAGAAAAATATGGATATTATACACTCACGATAACGAACCCTTATGACAAAATTGGCATTCTGCCCTTTGGGCTATCAAAAATGGGGTGGGGAGGGCTGGCCAGAAGCTTAGTGGATTAAAGTGCCTGCTTAGGCAGGTGAAGGCACCTGGGTTTTCAATCCCAGCATGCTGTGCCAGTGCTGGCCCTGCTGAGACAGTGACTGAGACAGACGGTGTGGTGGTGCAAACCTGTAATCCCATTGCTTGGGAGGTTGAAAACAAGAGGATCACAAATCTGATCTGTGTAGTGAGACCATGTACTAAAAACATTTAAAAAAAAAAAAAAAAAATGGCGGAGAGGACAAGATCTTATAATGTAGTCCAGGCTGGCCTTGAACCGATGGTGCTCCTCCTGTCTTAGCCTCCAAAGTCCATGGCTGTGTTTTAGATTTAAGAAATCAGCCAGGATTGGTGGTACAGGTCTGAGGTTCCAGCATTAAGGAGAATAAACCAGGAGAGGGTCACAAATTCCAGGCCAGCCCAAACTATTTCTTAAAAAAACAAAACAAAGCCACAAAGCCAATGCGGTGATGTAGCCTGTAATCCCAGCACTTCGGAGGCTGAGGCACGGGTTAGAGGCTGGGATGGGCTACAAAGTATGTTCAAGGCCAACCCGCCCGATCTGCAGAGACCCTCCTCAAAAAGACAAAAACCAACCAAAGAAAAGCAACAACACAAAAAGCCAGGGGTGCTGGCACAGGCATGACACCCCAGCACTTTTAAGACTAAAGCCAAGGATCGAATTGCAGTCATAAGGTGAGAGATTTCCTGAAGGGTATGGTCACAAATGCCAGGAGCCCTAGCACTGAGTATCACAAGTTCAAGGTCAGCTGCAGGAGTGCAAAGTCTGCTTGGATTACACTGGGAAACCCTGTTTTAAAAAAAAAAAAATTTAAATTTCCTCCAAAGGCTGGGGAGATGGCTCAATGGAATAAGCGCTTCCCTGGCAAGCACAAGAGCCTGGGTTCAATCCCCAGTTCCGAGTAGGTCTCTGGGAAGCCCAACTGAACCTAGGATGGAGTTGGGAGAGACTACTCCTTCCCAATATGCTCCCTGGCTTTTGGTCACTTTAAAAAACCTATATGCCATGCTGGGCACGGTACTGCACTCCTGAAATCCCAGCACTCTGGAGACTGAGGCAGGAGGATCACCTTGAAGGCCAGCCTAAAGTACACAGCCAAGCCTTGCGTCAAAAACGAACAACTACATGTCTGTGCTTTCCTTTTACGTTTAAAAAAAACCCAAAAAACACTAAGGGAACGGTATTTAAAGGTTGCTTACCTTTCACAACCATTGTGCGCTCTAAGCAAGACCTGTCTCCCTCCTGAGCCTCCCTATGTTTGCCTAAAACTAACAGGTCACATACTTTACAACATTTAATGAAATATTCGGGTGGAAGGCCAAATTTCCGACAACACAGAAATTTGCAAGCTACTAGGTATAAACCGAGTCTCAACATGAAAAGTCCTAGAAGCAACGGGCGAAAACTCAAGCCAGCGTCCAAGACAGCTGGCTCCTGGGATCCATACTCACCCCCTCCTTCTCGTTCTCCATCAGCACCTTCTTCAAAGCCACTTTCTGGCCGGTCTTACGGTGCTTGGCCTTAAACACCTCCCTGCAGCCAAAAAAAAAACCAAAAAAAAACAAAAACAAAAAACACAAGAGCGAGAGGGGTTCAGCCGCTACTCCGCCGGGCCTGCCCCTCCCCCAAAGAGCGCCGGGGCGAAATGAAGGAGATTCCGGCGGGGCGCGGCCGGAGACCGGGCACGCGGCTGCTCCACCACCCCGTCTCTGCGGTCTCGCTCCGAGCTTATTTCCCCATCCCCGGCCCCTTTTCACTCTAGCGTGATTAGAGAAATCCCGCTTCTTTCCAAGGCGCCTCCCTGTAACCCCTCCCCGCCCTCGAACTCAGATCACAAGCTTCTCTCGACCAGCCTGCGCCTGCAGGCCAGAGCGGGTTACGGCGCGGCATAGCGAGCCGAAGGAACAGCGCCGGGACCAGCGGCTTCCAAACCACCTCGCGCCGCGCCCGGAGCGTCCCGAGGTGGGCCCTGAAAGGTGCAGGCCGAGAGCTTCCGGCCCCCGGGGCCCAGGCTTACCCGAAGGTGCCTTGACCGATCTTGGCAAGCTTCTCATATTTGGTCACCTCATCACAAAAGGGGCACTCCACCGAGTCGTACTGCTTTGCCATGGCCGCTTCCAGCGCGCCGCCGCCGCCACTCCCAGCTGCAGCAGCAGCCGCAGCCGCTCCGGGTCCCGCCGCCGCGCTCCAAGCCCCTCCGCGACCGCGCCACTTCCGTCTCCACGGCCACTTCCTGCCTCGCGGTGCTGACCCCGCCTCTTCCGGCCTTCGGCCGCCGCCAGGCCCCCTGGGACTTGTAGTTCCCGGGAGGCCAGGGGGAGCCGGAGCTGCAGAGGCGCCTCCGCCGCCGCCGCCGCCGCTGCCCCCGCCTCCGCCACCTCCACCGCCGGCGACGGCCCCGATCGGGGGCGC